GAAGAGGCTAAAGATGAGTCTGAGAAGAAGGAACATGTTGACTTCACTTGGTAAGATGAAGAGTTCTTTAAGAAGATGTCTTCCAAGAAGGTCGAGTCTAAGCCGGTCGTCTCGAAAAAATTTGAGAAAATTGATAAGAAGCTCGAGAAGTTGCATGCGTTTATGAGATCGAAAGGAATGGACCAGTATGTGGACCTCGACGATGATGATGATGAGGAGTTAGAATTGAGGTAAGTTATCCTTGTGACCTACAAGATGCTAAAGGTGGCGAAGTATGATGGTAATGTTGACCCGAAGGTACACCTCATGCAATACAAGTCTATAATGGAGTTGGCGGGTCTGTCGTCGAGGATAATCTTGAAGATGTTCATAATGTCCTTAATGGTGTCTACCAAGACTTGGTACTACAATCTTGAGAAGAGAGTAAGAAGAGATTAGAATGAGCTTACTACGACTTTCCTCAAGGAATAGGCTTGCAATCTCCAAATGAGCATCAATTTGTGAGATTTAGAAGAAACTGTGCAGAAAATTGACGAGATCTTCACTGATTATATGGCTAGATGGAGAGCCAAGGCATGCAAATGAAGAATCGTCCAAATACCATGGAGCAGATCAAGTTATTCATCAAAGGGACTCTACCGGTCTTCCGTAAGAAGCCGTACAATATGCCATTGACTGAGCTTTCTCAAGTTTATGAGGTAGGGACCGCCATCGAAGATAAAATAAGGGAAGACAAGAAGTATGGGAACTGCATTAGAAGTTTCAATAAGTTTGGGTTCCAAGGGTCCAATCAATTAGCTAAGACTCTAAGCACCACCATGAACACAACAACATCCGCTCTGAATTTGAGAGCTACTAATGTGCCACCAAGGAGATTCTCCAACTTTGGCACCCCTCTCCCTAGAGTGTTCGAGAAAGCAAAAGCAGTGGGTTTGTTAAAATCGATTGCATCGAGACTTCTCCAGCAATTCTGCCAAGGAATTTCGATCAGAATGCTTATTGCCATTTCCAACAAAGTAAGGACCATATAACAGATAATTGCTTGTGACTGAGGCATGAGATACAAGATTTGATCGACTGTGGCAAAGTTACTGATCTTGAGAAATCAAGGCCTAGCACGAGGACAAATCCACTCTTAAATTTTAGAAACGTGCCGCCTCCTAAGAACTTATATTTGGTTGAGTATGGAAAGACTCTTGAGGAGGTGTTGGCCATGTTTGAAGAGGAGGAGGAAAGAGAGAGGGAGATGCTTTTGGAGCAAATTTATGTGATGGTGCTCAATGTTTGGGAAAGCGATGAGGAATGGTCAGAATAGGGCGAGCAAGTCTAGGTATGAAGTGAGGATGAAGTAGAAGTGAATCCCCTTATTTTGGATATATGGAGTAGTAAGGATGAAAAAGAAGCAAGAGCAGTGAATCATATGACCCACAATGGTTGAGTTTATCAGCTAGATATGATCAATCCGAGGGAAAAAAACATGAGAAAGCAAGCTCATCGGATGTGCTGAAGAAGGAAGTAGAAGATGATGCCTTGATCAGACATCTAAAAAGAACCCATGCAAACATAAGCATATGGGACTTGTTGGTATCTTCTAAACAACACCGAGAGGCATTGCTAAAAGCCATGGTAGAGATTCTGGTTTCATCATCCATCTCTCTAGCTGATTTTGTTGGGATAGTGCAACATGATCCCCTCACTATCACCTTTTCGAATGATGAACTTCCTCCCGAAGGAAGGAATCATACCAAGGCACTGTTTATAAAAGCTGAGGTTAGAGGGAGAGTGACTGAAAATGTGATGATAGATGATGGGCCAGCTCTGAATGTGTGTCCGTTAAAGCTGTTTTCCAAGTTCAAGCTAGAATTGTCTAACTTAGAACCTTCAGATGTTGTGATTAGAGCATATGATGACTCTAAGAGACAAGTAGAGGGCATCTTCAAAACTGTGATCAAGGTGGGGCCGATTGAAAAGCTAGAATGTCTAACTTAGAACCTCAGATCGTTGTGATTAAGAAAGCCATAAATGATGACTCTTAAGAGACAAGTAAGGGGCATCTTCAAAACTTTGACTCAAGGTGGGGCCCGATTGAAAAAGCAAGATGAAATTTAAGAACCTTCAGATGTTGTGATTAGAGCATATGATGACTCTAAGAGACAAGTAGAGGGCATCTTCAAAACTGTGATCAAGGTGGGGCCGATTGAAAAGAAGACTGAATTTAACGTTATCGATATCCTCCCAACTTTCGCCTTACTTCTTGGGCGCCCATGGTACCATTTTCTTGGGATGAGTGCTTTCAACATTACATCAGAAAATCAAGTTCCCATTTAATGGAAAGATTATCACCATACTTGCTGCTAGTGAAAGAAGCGTAGCTACGCTAAATGTGGATAAGCAGGTTATCCTTCCATGGATTGGTTTTCAGATTACTGTACTGAGCACTGATATGGGGCTCACTGTCTCCAACATCATAAAGAGGATGAATTAGGAAGAAGGGAAAGGACTTGGAAAAGATCAATAGGGCATTACGAAGTTACCTGAAATCCACACTCAGAGAAACTGCATGAGCCTGGGGTATAAAATTGGGAACACACAATCGAACACATATTGCTGATTAGACATGGATGGACGATTCGCCAGATCGAGTGAGCATTTCTCTCCATGTCTGCCAATAGAGCCTTTTCAACACAAGGGAAAGACATACCTCAGTCTAGAGATCCTTGCAAATGTTATTGATATCTTGGCAGTTGAGCCCAAGAAGCTTAAGGAAGAGAAAGAACAGAAGGAAGAAGAGAAGACACCCGAGAAAGAAGCGGTTAAGGGGCCACAAGTGGCCGAGGAGGAAAGAAAGAAAGAAAGAAAGAGGAATAAGAAGAGGGGCAAGTTGCCCCAAAAGAGAGGAAGGAGGAGAAGAATAAAGGAAAGGCAAGTGTCGAAGAAGAAGAGGACCCACGGATCAAGTGCTGAAGGCGATCCGAGCCTGCATAGAAGAGAGTTTTGAAGAAGCTGAGGCCTTTTCTAATGTGTTAATTTCTGTTAAGGACGAGTCCGATTGTAATGGACTTTCTCTGTTGTTTAATGAAATGAACTTTAATTTTGCTTAACTGTTTGATGCTTTTCTAATGGTTCCATTCATCGAGTAGATAAGCAAATGCGCTATTTGACAGTAACTCATCATGCATGCTTGAATTTAATATTGGCACAAAAGATAATCCACAAACTCTATTAATTGGGCCAAACCTAACGCCGAAGTTAAACACAAAATTTCAAAGTCTACTCATGAACAAAGAGGAAGCATTCTTATGGAGTTATGAGGATATGCTAGGGGTAGACAGAACTATAGCTGAGCACACAATTCCCCTGTATCCTGGAGCCAAGCCAGTGAAATAGAAGAGAAGAAAGTTAAGACAGAAATGGGCCGAGAAAATTAAAGAGGAATTGACCAAGTAGATAGATGCAGGATTTCTTGAAGCGTTTCACTATCCAAAATGGTTAGCAAACATAGTCCCAGTTCCTAAAAAAGACAGAAGGGTCAGAATGTGTGTGGACTACAAGGATTTAAACAAAGCATCATCGAAGGATGATTTTCCTCTCCCTCATATCGATATCTTAATTGACATGTAGCAATGATGGGATGCTACTCCATTATGGATGGGTTTACAAGGTATAACTAGATTCTTATGGCGTTACTGGATAAGGTGAAGGGAACATTTCTAATAGTTTGGTACTTTCTGCTATCGGGTGATGCCGTTTGGTTTAAAGAACGCTGAGGCAACTTACCAAGGGATGCCCACTACATTATTTCATGACATGATCCACAAGGAGTTAAAAGTGTATATTGACAATATGAATGTCATGATGAAGACACCAGAAGAGCATTCAACAGCCGTGGAAAAGCTTATGGACAGAGTGATTAAATATAAGTTGCGGTTACACCCGAAGAAATGTGTGTTTGGGGTGACTTCCGGGAAAGTGCCAGGATTCATATAGGACCTAAGGGTATAGAGATCCATCTAGACAAGATTAAGGCAATCCAAAAAATGGAGCCGCCTAAGACGGAAAGCAAATGAGAAGCTTTCTGGGAAAGATTCAATATATCAATAGGTTCATATCGAAGTTGTCTATAGTATATGATCCAATCTTCAAGCTTTTAAGGAAAGATCAGCCAATAAAATGGAATGATCACTACCTGATAACTTTCGATAAAAGAAAAGAATATTTGTCAAGTCCCCTGATTTTGTGCGCACCGAAGCCAGGGAAACCCTTAATTCTATACTTGACGGTGAAAGACACTAGAGTTGGAGCCATATTAGCACAAACTGATAAAGTTAGTGTTAAGAAGGCAATATATTACTTGAGTAAAAAGCTTCTTCCAAATGAACAGAAATATAATTTGATTGAAAGAACTTGCTTAGCAATAGTATAGGCTACCAGAAAACTTTGGCACTACTTTTAGCCTTATAAAATGATAGCAGTATCAAGAATGGATCCGGTCAGATATTTATATGGAACACCAACACTAGTGGGGAAACTATCAGAATGGCTAATCCTACTATCAGAATTTGATATTGAATATGTGATAGCAGTATAAGAATTGGAATTCCGGTCAGAATAATTTATCAATGAAACACCAACACTAGTGGGGGAAAACTATCAGAACTTGGCTAATCCTAACTACATCAGAATTTGAAATATTGAATATGCGAAAAAGAAAACTGTCAAAGGACGAGCAGTTTTGGTAGAATTTCTAGCAACACATCCAGTTTGAAGATAATGAACAGTGGGGAGATTGAACTTGCCTGATGAACATTTAAGTTTGGATAAAAAAGAAGATCTACTATCAGAATTTGATATTGAATATGCCACAAAGAAAACTGTCAAAGGACGAGCAGTTGTAGAATTTCTAGCAACACATCCAGTTGAAGATAATGAACAGTGGGAGATTGACTTGCCTGATGAACATTTAAGTTTGATAAAAAAGAAAGGATGGAAGCTCTACTTTGATGGTTTATCATAGTAAAGGAGCTGGACTAGGCGTCTTGCTAGAATCTCCACAAGGAGAAGTTATCCCGACGTTGAAGAGGTTACAGTTTGAAGTCACTAATAACATGGCAGAATTCGAAGCCTACCTATTTAGGTTGGAAGCTTTGATTGCAGTTAAAGCTGAAGAAGTTGAGGTTGTTGGTGATTCAAAACTAGTCATTGAGCATGCTAACGGCAATTGGGAAGTTAAAGAGGACAGGCTGAAGCCATATATTGACCATCTGCACGTTGTTGTTCAAAACTTTAAGAAGGTAACCTTCACACATACAAGCAGAGTAAACAACAGAGTACCAGATGGCTTGGCTAACTTAGCATCAGATTGGGAAGAGATTTCAGTAATGTCTAAGAAACCATTTATGATGTCTTCAGGTAGCATCCCGTGTTATAAAGGCAAAAAGATTATGGATATTGAGGAGGAAGAGAAGCCATGGTTTTATGATGTCCTACATTGGATGAGTAAAAGGGTATACCCAGATTCAGCTACTAGATATGACAGAAGAGTTATATAGCATTTGGCATTACAATTTGCAGTCTTAAACAGTTAGTTATACAAAAGAATGTCAGATGGGGTATTGTTAAGATGCGTATCAAAGAAAGAAGCCGAAGGGATTATGGAACAGATCCATGTAGGGGTTTGCGGCACCCACATGAACAGAAAAGCACTTGCTAAGAAAATTCTCAGACAGGGTTTCTTTTGTTCGATAATGAAAAATGATTGTATTTCTTTAGTGAAAAGGTGCTTCGAATGCAAATCCAAGGAGACCTGAGTCACATTCCACCTTCAGAATTACATCCTTCTATTTCGCCATGGCCATTTGCAGGTTGGGGAATATATATCATTGGCAAGATTTCACCACATGCTTCTAATGGACACGAGTTTATAGTGGTTGCAGTGGATTATTTTTCAAGATGGGTTGAAGCAGAATCATTTAAAAACATAGGCGCCAAGCAAATGGCCAAATTTTTGAAAAGAACCTGATCTGTAGATATGGAATCGAACACCACAAGTTTTCACCTTACAAACCACAAGCTAATGAGGCGGTGGAGGCCGCAAACAAAAACATCAAGAAGATATTGTGGAAGATGGCAGAAAATCAGTATGATTGGGCTAGCAAGCTACAATATGCTTTGTGGCGATACTGGACCACAGCCAAATCTGCGAATGGGGCAACCCCCTACTCTTTAGTCTATGGAATGGAAGTTGTACCACCTACTGAGATAGAAGTGCAGTCCTTATGCATAACGATAGAGTCCAAGATTCCAAAATATTAATGCGCATAAAATCACCATCAAGAATTAGCACTCCTGGATGGAAAAAGGCTTAATGCCCACTTCATGGATTAATTGTATAAAAGGAGGATACTTAAGCACTTTAATAAAAGAGTTCATCCAAAGCTACTTAGAGTGGGGGATTTGGTTCTGAAACAGATGCAGCCAAACACTCACGACCAAAGGGGAAAGTTTAAGCCTAACTGAGAGGGTCCATTCCTGATCAAGAAGATATTTTCCAAAGGTGCAGTGAAGCTATCAGACATGGAAGGCAATGAGTTTACCGAACCAATCAATATGGAAAAGCTAAAGAAATTTTATGTGTAGCTTGAAACGTTTATGGCAAAGCCCAATTAATGAATTCACCTTTTGTGTTCTTATTAACTGTAAAGCGTGTTATGTTAAGTTTATGTTAATATGCAAATGTTGTGAATTTACCTTGGTGATATAGGATAGCAGGGAATATATCAAATATGCTAAAGCATAAGTCATTTCATTCATAATAAGTGCATACATTTCATAAATTGCATATTTAATAATTGTTTAGTACATTTCATTAGAAATCAGGATAGAGCATCAACATGCCAGGTCCTAATAGAAATCTAGCTGTCAACAGATCAGCCAACTCTGATCAGAACCAGCTCTGGAGTAAGCCTACAGCCAAGTGCGGTACAAGTCTGAGGAAGAGGTATCATCCCAGTCGTGCGTAAGAAGGCCACCCTCGAACCGCGTGTAATCAGGGACGACCTGATGATGACCATACTACCTATCTACGCGACTGGGATAATAAGTGAAACACCCCGAATTTTTATTTTCAAAACTTTTGAATTTTTAATAAATTGAAAATCCAAATTTTTGATGGGATGGGCTGTAAGTACTGAGCAATTTTGATCTGAGCCCAAATTGTGACTTGGACTCAAGCCCAAAACAAGTTATCGGAACTGATGGATGGCTGTATAGTAACTAGAAGCAATTTGAATCTGAGCCCGAAATTGTGACTTGGACTCAAAGCCACAACAGTTATCGGAACTTCTAGTTGAGATAATAAATTTAAACCCTTCTTAGATTTGATATTGGAACACATTTAAAATACATAATAAAAATATAATATACCAGCTTAGTAATCCTAAATTTGACAAAAAAATCAACTATAAATAATAATAAAAATTATATTTACCACTTAGTAATCCTAAATTTGACAAAATCAATTAAATAAATCAAACCGCTTGAAAATCATTGAGAAATAAATCAAATGAGAAAGCATAAAATGGGGTTATACAGCAAATATTTAATTATTGATAATAAGAATCGTAAACCAGCTTAAAGTTTTCGGAAACCAAGAGAAACACCAGATAACTAAACAAAAATTCTGCTAAATCGTTGATTTGGACCCAAACCGGTTCGAATCGAACCGGAATGGCCCAGACTTCTCTAGAACCCTCTTTTCTTCCTTTTTTTTTCTTTTCTCTTCTCCTTCTTCTTCCTCCTACGCGCGACAGCCCTTTCCTCCTTTGTTCATTGCGTTTTCCGGCCACCGGCCACAAAATCCGGTAAACGGGCACTCCATCTTAATCCTCTCATCAAAACGAACTTCTCTATGGTCTTGGTTCGCGTGATAAGAGCTGGAATCGAGAGATATCGCGACTGGAAGGCCACGCCACCGTGCGATGGAGTTCTCCAGCAAAATCTCGCCATTTCCGTCGACTTCAAGCGCTAGGGATGGTCTCAAACGACACCTAGTCGCCTCCTGGACAATTTCCCTCCATTAATTCTGGCGATGGAGCAATGAGGATGAAATCACCATTACAGGCAGAGCTACAGCCACTGTCGAGCCAAATTCGACGGGTTGGAGATTCGATCTACCTCAATTGACACCGGAAATGGAATCTTTATCAAAATTTGAGTCGGGTGGTGCTGTCTTTGCAAAATTCTGGGCTTTTTGACTTTTCCGGCCACCGTGCACGCGGCGATGGCGGTGGTCCGGCGAGACTCCGATGAGGCTTTAAGAGGCAGAATGACCTCCTCTTCGCGTAGATCACGGAAATGGGGTTCAATTTTCAATCGGTACACTCTAAAGCTTAATTCGCAATTTTTGAATAAATCCCGAATGAATGAATTAATGAGTTAATTTGAGTATTTAAGTGAATTAAATTGAACATTGTTAAATATAGTTCTTTAAGTGAATTAAAATTTGAACATTGGTTTAAATAATAAGTCATGAGTATTAAGTTATAAGATTGATATTGCGAAAATACAGAAATTCATCTAAGCTAATAATTATCACTACAGTATTTCCGAAATTTAAGAAATATAAATAGGACGGAATCATAAATTATGAGTATCGACAAGGTAATCTATGGTAATTCATGCGAAATATGATTGTATGGTTAATATACAAGTTAAATTCTGATTGGTATTAGCTATTATTATTAGTATATTACTGCATTAATACTTATACTTTATTATTATCTATTATTATTAATTAATTATTAATTAATTAATTATCTAATTAAATTATTTATTACTTTATTATTATTATTCTTAATCGATTATTATTATTAAAATATTATTAGAAGCATTTATCTTAACAGTTATCACAACATTGAATCAAATAAAAAAATTAGAATAAATAAATAAATAAGGGAATATGATATATATATAAATATCCAGTTTAATTTGATATATGAGTAAAGCGACTAGTAACCAAAACTAATAATTAAGATAAGATACATTTCTCGAATTAGACCTCTTATTTAGAATTTTCTTATTATTTTAGATGTTTATAAATCCCGAAAGGTGAAGACAAATGCTGGAAGCATGCAGTAATAAAGTGAAATAACCCGAATTTTTATTTTCAAAGATTTTTCATTTAAATTTAATAAACTGACAGCGTGGAAAATGTATGTAATTATTTAAATGCAAATTAATAATTTAAATGCAAATTAATAATTTTGTAACACGGATATGAAACGCAGAGATCGAATCAATTGAAATCGACAAATCAAATAAAAAACCAAGATTTGAGGCTGAATCGAAACCGGAGTTGAATCGGGAATCCAGCCCAAACCACTGCTAAACTCTCCCCTCTCACCCTTATTTCAGCGCCACACTCACTCCTCATTTTTTTACACCTCCCACCAGCCACGCAGCATACCGCCACCTCCTCCACCTCCTCTTCTTCTTCTTCTTCTTCTTTATTTCTTTTCTTTTCTTTCTTTTTCTTTCCTTTTCTTTCCTGCGCTTGCGACTCCACTGCTGGAAGAAGCAGATCGCGCCCCCACCAGCTCGATCGGACTATGCCGCACGCCACGGCCGTTTTCCTCCGCTCGATTGCTGCTCCTCGCGAACCCAGCCACAGCTCCGCCACTGTTCCACCGTGTGCTCAGCCTTGTTGCAGCTCCAGCGTGCCGCCGACCTCCAGGAGCAGATCTGTCGAGCCTGCAGTTGCGCCACAAGCTGCTCCGCCACCAGATCGCACAGTGCCACCACTGCAGCTCAACTCCTGCGTCGATCTTAGGCTGTCCAGCCGCTTCCAGCACGCGTAGCTCCGATCCGGCACGAGTAAATCCCCGATCTAGCAAGAAAAATTATATTTGGGGTATGAATCAATTTATGCTAATTCTCAGAATTTTTTTTTAGTAATTTTGAGTTAACTAATTTAAATTAAAAATTTGATATTGAATTATTGATTAATGAGAGTTAATTTCAGTATTAAATAAATTATTAGAAAATTTTGATTTAAGGAATTAAAGAAAAATTTATAAATTTATGTTAATACGGAAAATGTGGAGGATGGGATTTGTTGATTGAATCGATTGCCCGATGGATGGGCTGTGTGGTTTGGAATTTAATTGATATAATGTTGATGTTTTAACAGTGGATAATCCAATTTTTAAGGGAGATGCTTATTACGGGCTTACTACGGGCTTCGGGGGCCTTAAGCCCACCCAGGTCCTAGTGCCAGTCCGGTCCATGGAAATGGGTCGTGACATAAAGATAGTCCTGTAAAGGACAATAAGGAACTGTGAGTTGTAAAGGGACAATAAGGAACTGTGAGTAGTGTTTAGATAATTCGCATACAATCCGCATGCATTCATGCATTTTCACCGGCTAAATGTATCATGGCATTATTTTGTTGAATTGCCGATGATGTGCTACAAACTAATCACTATTTGTTGACATTAAAAATTGTTTGATTACTTGTGTTGTGATATTGCTGTGCCTTGTTTGTGTGGAATTG